GAGCTGGAGGCTCGGAGGAAAGGCAGGGCAAGGAAGAGGCTCCGGGGTGGGTGGGGCGCTTAAGGCTCTCTAGCAGAGCCCCACCCCCCGACTCTTGAGCCGTTGGAGAGGGGAGGGAGATCGGGCCGGCCAGTCTCGGGGAAGAAGGCAAACAGGCGAGATTTGTACTCCGGGATAGAATGCTACCCGAGCTGGAGGCTCGGAGGAAAGGCAGGGCAAGGAACAGACTCCGGGGGGTGGCAGGGTCGCTTAAGGCTCTCTAGCAGAGCCCCACCCTCCTTGAGCCGCGAGGGGAGGGGAGGGGAGGGAGATCCGGCCGGCCGGGCAGGGAAACGGGCAAAGGGGGTAGACTGCTGCTGGAGTTGGAGGCTCGGAGGAAGGGCAGGGCAAGGAAGAGGCTCGGGGAGGGGGAGTCGCTTAAGGCTCTCTAGCAGAGCCCCGCCCCACCCGAGCCGTTGAAGAGGGGAGGGAGATCGGGCCGGCCAGCCTCTGGGAAGGCAAGCGGGAGAGTGTCGTAATCCGGGGTAGACTGCTGCTGGAGCTGGAGGCTCGAAGGATGAAAAGAAGGGCCGGGCAGCGGGCTAGAGACCTGTTCCCTTCCCCGCTAAAGATCTACTCCCTGGGTCGTAGACTAGGCAGGAAGATCGGCCCGGCCCGGCCAAGCCAGCCTCGAGGAAGACAAGCGGGCAATCTTCGCGCTTCGTTATGTACGACGTTTTCCGGGATAGACTGCTGCTGGAGCTGGAGGCTCGAAAGATGAACGAAGGGGCCGGGCAGGGAACAGTCCGAGGACGGGCCTCGCTGAAGGCACCTCCACCCTGAGCCGCTAGAGAGAGAGGAGGGAGATCGGGCCGGCCAGCCTCCGGGAAGGCAAGCGAGCGTCTTCATCTTCTGTCTGGAACTTTTGGGATAAACTGCTGCTGCAGCTGGAGGCTCGAAGGAAGCGCCGCTCTCGCTTCTCCAGACATCCAACCCCTGGCTTCCCCCCGCCTCGCCTTTCTAGCCCTCCATTGCCTCGCTAAAGAGAGACGGGAGAGAGATCGGCTCGCCCAATGCAGCTTCGGGGCTGGAGCTTCCCCTGATAGACTGCTGCTGGCGCTGGAGGCTCGTAGCGGGCGGACGACAGGAAGGACGGCGTTGGGGCAGACTTGTAAAAAAAGAGGTTGAGACTCTGGAAAGAGGGCAGAGAAGAGCAACCAGGATGATGAGGGGACTGGAGGCTAAAAAATAGGATGAACGGTTGCAGGAACTGTGCATGGCTAGTCTAGGGAAGAGAAGGACCAGGGGAGACAGGATAGCAGCCTTCCAATATTTGAGGGGCTGCCACAGAGAGGAGGAAGGGGGTCAAGCTATTTTCCAAAGCCCCCGAGGGCCAGACAAAAGGAATAATTGATGGAAATTGATCAAGAAGAGATTCAGCCTGGAAATAAGGAGAATGAATGAATGAATGAATTCTTTATTGGCCAAGTGTGATTACACACGCAAGGAATTTGTCTTGGTGCAAATGCTCTCAGTGTACATAAAAAGAAGAAATACATTCCTCAAGAGTCAAGAATCATCAGGTACAACACCTAATAAATTTAGAATTTTTAGAATTTTACCTTTATTGTCATTGCATCCCACGAATACAATGAAATTTGAAAGCCACGCATCACAATCACACCACAAACCACACATCACAATCACACCACAAGTATTTAAAAATTAAAATAATTAAAATAATAATAATTAAAAACCTAGTCTAAAACCTATCTAAAACAATTAGTAAGTTAAATAGTTTAAAAATGCCACTGTATACATAGGACTAGATCACAAATGCGCTGTTTGATTCAACACAATTATTGCCTTGGAAAAGAAACTTGTTTCTCAGTCTATTAGTCCTCATTTTAAGACACCGATAATGTTTCCCTGATGGTAACAGTTGGAAATATGAATGACCAGGATGACAATGGTCTGTGGAGATTTTTTTTTTTTAATGATAGTCATAGGGCACAATAAGCAATCAAATCATACTAGGAAACAGTCCATAGAAATCGTAAGGATGCAAGCAACAAAGTTACAGTCATACAGTCACAAATGGGAGGGTGATGAGGAGTGATGAGAAGATTAATAGTAATAGTAATGCAGGCTTAGTAAATACCTGGACAGTGTTGAGGGAATTAGTTGTTTAGCAGAGTGATGGCGTTTGGGAAAAAACTGTTCTTGTGTCTAATAGTTGTTCTGGTGTGCAGGGCTCTATAGCGTCGTTTAGAGGGTAGGAAGTGAAACGTTCTGACCATGAGAAACCATCAACCTGTGGAACAGAAGTTGCCTTTGGAAGTTGTGGGAGCTTCATCCCTGGAGGCTTTCAAGAAGAGACTGTACTGCCCTCTGTCAGAAATGGTGTAGGGTCTTAGCACACAGGTCCAAACTCTCATACAAATCTCACACCTGCAACCCATGAAGAGGATCAAGGCCCTTTCCTCACAAGTAGACCATATTTTACCCTTATCCTCTCCTCCCTGCGTGCCCTAGGATGGAGAGGGGATGGGCCTGGGTCCTCCTCTGACTTCCCAGCCGGCCTTAGCCCTTCCCCAGCCTCCTCCACAACCTCCGGAGCCCCACGTCCACTCCCTGTCGGCTGTTCCTGGTCTCCCTCGGAGTCAGTCTCCACCATGACAGTTGGCTTTATACACGGCAGTGCCAGTATGTCGCCTCTAATAAACCCTTTGAAGGTTTTTTTGAAGTTTGGCTCGAGAATCATGATCTAATTAGGGCAATTGCTGGAATCCTGACATATAGTCCTCAACATACGACCACAGTTAACCCTGACATTTGTGTTGCTATCTGAGAAATTTGTTAAACGACTTTGGCCTCATTTGATGACTTTTCTCGCCGCATTTGTTAAGGGAGTCACGGCAGTGGTTAAATTAGTGATCCCATCGCAAAGCGAACCTGGATTCCTCTTTGATTTGGCTCATCGGTCAGCTGCAAAAAGGGGAAATCGCATGAGTCCATGGCATCCTACAACCGTCATAAAGGTGAGTCACTTGTCAAACTGTAAATCGCGGGACCACGGGGATGCTGCAATGGTCATTAAATGTGAAAAAGGGCCCTAAGTCACTTTTTTCAGCGCCGTTGGAAGTTCGAATGGTCACTAAGTGAACCATTGCTAAGTCGAGGACTAAATTAATAGAAGAGAGAGGGAGAGAAAAAAGATTCAGTGCTTTTCATAGGAGCAGAAGTTCAGCAGACAAGCTTAGTTTTAGGGCAGCCACTTCGACTTAGTTTAGATGAACAGAGTCAGAAGGGATCTTGGAGGTCATCTAGTCCAACCCGCTGCTTCAGCAGGAGATGTTACCAATCTGGACAAACAGGTGTCCAGTCTCTTCTTCAAAACCTCCAGTGATGGGAGCACCCATAATTTCTGGAGTTAAGCTGTTCCACTATTCTCACTGCCAGCAAATTCTCCCTTATTTTGACTACGGATCTCCGAATACAGAAGAACTGAGGTGGAAGGGACCTTGGAGGTCTTCTAGTCCAACCCCTACTCAAGCAAGAGACCCTATGCTATTCCACACAAAACGGTATCCAGCCTCTTCTTCCGATACCTCCAGTGACGGAGCACCCGTAATTTCTGGAGACAAGCCGTCCCACGCTTCTCCTTAGCTTGACTATGGATCTCAGACCACAGAATAACAGAAGGGAGCTTGGAGGTCATCTAGTCTAAACCCCCCCCGCCCGAGCAGGAGGCACCCCACTACACCATTCCTGACAAATGGCAGCCCAGACTCTTCTTCTGAAAGCCGTGGCTGTCCGTTTTTCTTTTGGCGTTGGGACTTTCCTCGTCCTCCCTCGTTCCCAGCGAGATGGTTTGGCTGTATTTCCAAGAGAAGATTGTATGGATCGTTGTTGTGAGTCAGAACTGTTGCTTCTGATACAGGGCTGACTCAGCCCAGCCCTCCCTGCACACGTGTGCAAGGCCATAAATGCATCTCCAGGTTCCTTTCCCTTGCCCTGCCTGGCCAGGGGCCTTCAGTTGTGGGTCCGGAGCTGAGCCCTACCTGTAGGGGCCGACAAATGCTACAACAATCTAGATTTGTGTTTCATCAGCCGGCATGCTTTATGTTGGGTGAACTTCCACTCCCAGAATCCCCAGCCAGCATACTTTAAGAGGGGTGGACTTCCACTCCCAGAATTCCCCAGCCAACATGCTTTAAGATGGATGGACTTCCACTCCCTGACTCTCCCAGAGAGCAGAGAATCAAGTCCAAAACATGGTCAACAAAAACTGTAACTATAAGTCCAATCAAGGCAAAAGGAGGTAATTAGTCCGGCAGGGCAGGAGCAAGAATTTAATTCCATATGTGAAGGAACGGCTGTAATTCAACATGGTTGGGAGGATGCCAGGAACACAGATTAGCAAAGTTAACACAAGATAAACTCACATTTGCTCCCAGCAGCTGCCGCACACAGCTTGCATATTTTTTTAAACTCTCTTCCCAGCTGTGGCTAATGAAGGGAATCAGGGCCCTTTCCTCCCCTGTAAGCCACACAACTTACGTTGCTCCCTTCTCCGTTCCTTCCTGTGTG